TTATTAGCCAACCCCTAATCACAGTTTACATTTCTTTATATTAAAGATACAAGTTATTTAAATTTGTGTGTGGTTTCTTTCTCCCAATATAAATGACCCTAAATAAAATACAGGTGAGATCGTCCAAGTAAACAGTGCAGAATGATCTTGCCTGTCATATGTGGGTTACAAGAAGTCCTGTGTCATTTTCTATTTTGAATGAGTGGGATGTGAGGGCACATGAGATGGCACTCATTGGGGCAGAAGCACAGAGTCCAGCTTCCTTCCTTGGGACACCAGATACAGTCTCCTCTGGGGTTCATGTTGGGAGGCTCTGGTTTTGGCTGGCCTCTGCTGCACACAGTACCTACCTGCAGCTCGCGGTGGCTTCTCAGTCGGCTACCACCAGAGCTAGAAATTTCTCCACTGGTCTTTTGGGGACGTAATGGAGTGTCTTCTGAAGTCAAAATGTTTAAAAAACATGGCCCACCCTCACTGTGTGGTCCAAGCTCCCAGTCTCACCTTGGCTGCTCCAGGCTGCTGTGGACAGATGTCCCTCAAGGGTTTTCTTCCAGATGGCATTCCTAGGCTTTGAAGCTGATGTGTACACTACAACTGTCACACCTACAAGGTGCTGACCTCCGCCATGCCAGCACCAGGGGGTGCAGAAGCTAGGGAGGGGCTGCCGTGCTGCACCCCCTTGTGACCTGCCAAGTGCTCAAGTGTGTCTTGGTGTAAGGCCAGGGTAGGAGAAAAGATATACAGGGTTTCAGCTATTGGAATGCTGGGTTCTTCACTAAAGATCAGGTGAACCCATTTACTAAAAAGATAGCATAAGTAAGAAACAGGGTCATAAATGAATAACCAGTACTGCCTATAAAACCCAGAAATCCTGGGGCAAAGGTGAGCATCTGGAAAGCTTTCTACCCTAGAAACATCACTTTCTTGTCCATTATCATGCAGATACCTTGGCTGGACTGTCTGGGAATTCTACGTGAGGGTCTCAACCTACAAATCTAGGCTGTCCCAGGGGTACTGCTGCCATAAAGGGATCAGATTTGCCATCTCAACAGGAAACAGCAGTAACAGGCATTCAGAATCAGGTCATAAACCCCATCCCAATGGAATCCTCTGGCAAAAGGTATAGCCTGAGTAAGTGGTGAAATATTCCTGCAGGTGACAACAGAGGGTGTTTCTCACTGTTCTGCCCCTCTGAACCAAGGGCAGTTTCCAAACAGAGCTACAATCTGAAGAAAATTGGGTATCTGGATGGAACATCCTTGAATGTGTCTGGAGGCAGAAATGCTCTATCTTTACTTCTAGGAATGGCAAGTGAATAGTGCCACCTTCAGTCAGCTAAAGTGACACGGCCCACTCACCAGGGAAGCCCACGTTTTTGATATGAAGCTCTTGGTGAACTTGGCTTCCAGGCAAAATATTTAGCTTCCTCCTTCCTGGGGTGGAGGGTAAAGCTAGCATGTCCACTCAGGGGGGTCCTGAAGCACCCTCTGCTACTGCTGTGCAGAGGGGCTGAAAACACACTCTGATCCTAGCAGGCTACACACGAAAGCTGACTTGGGAAGCCAGGGACATCAGTGCACAGGGTCCTACCTGCCTGGGAAGAAGGGGGCAGCCCTGGGCACTGTGCCAAGGCCACGGCTGGCTACCAAGTGCCCAATAAAGCATGGCCTGGAGTGGCTAATCAGCTTTCAAATACCAAACAGGGCAGTCATAAAAGGAGGGCAGAGGTGGAGAAGACATGGTGGGGATAGGGACAGTAAACGCCCACGGCACATGCACACTCAGACCATGGCAGGGTCGGCAAGGTACAACTAGTAATCATGACGTCATACTGATAAACAAAGTACAAAGGCATTTACAGAGGTTGAAACACATTCTAGGGACTTAAGCCCACTCATGATACTCTCCTCCCTCCTTTACAAACATACCAAAGGCACAGGAAGACTTCAACTGGACTCTGAACTTGTAAGTTTTTTTTTTTGTCCTTTTTGAGACCGGCGGCCCTGCGCTCAGCCAGTGAGCGCACAGGCCATCCCTATATAGAATCCGAACCCGCGGCGGGAGCACCGCACTCTCCCGAGTGCACCACGGGCTCGGCCCTGAACTTGTAAGTTTAATGGAGGTCAAGCTCCTGGTTTTCTGGTGCTTTTTCATCCTATTTCTTGATTTTAGTAATGACTGAGAGTAGTATGGTTACCTCCGTTCCAAAGATCTACTGGGGCTGGACCATCTGCCAAGATCATATGATACAGGAGAAAAATCAGGATTGATATGAGGTCAGAGAAGGCTGGAAAAAGTGAATCATAACCTGATTATAGGCCTCTGTTACGGAGTGTTCCTAGATGGTTCAAAGTCGTTCCCATAGCTGGCTGGACTTTCTCCTGGTGCACAATGGTCCTGGTTCCACCTGGTGTCAAGTGGTTGGAGAGGTGGCCTTCCAGGATCTCCAGTCATGTCACTCCTCAGGAAGAACAAGTGTGTGAGGGAAGGCATCCTTGGCAGCCCAGGAATTGGACTGCTCCGTTCTTAAGGATCCTCTTATTGTGATTTAATGGGGGGAAGGGGAGAAGGGGTGGGGGGTACATGCATTTTGGAGAAGGAAGTAAAATTTTGGCCACTGGATTTACTAGATCACCCAGATCTATGAATTTTATAGTAAGACTGTCAGTTTTCCCCTGTGTTTAGTTTTAGAAGCAGTATTCATCACAGCTAATAAGATCTCTGTAGAGACAACTGGAGAAGAAAAAAACAGCACACAATCCCCCTGGCTCAGAAGATCTTCGCTGGCGTCCTATTCACACACGTGCTTTATTTAGAAGTTATGTCAGAAAGTTTAAAATTATGTTTAAAAAATAGAAAAATTAAGCTAAGGTACATGATAGGAAAAACAAAATGGTAAGGAATAAAAGGAAAGAAGGTTAAAGGAAAGTAAATGAAAGCTAAAGGAACATGCTGTAAGTTCAATGAATCAGAACTAAAGGCAAGCAAAGCCAGCTCTGAGGTCCTCCTCACAAGGATGGAGAAAGAACACAAGGCAGCGTAGAGACCTGGAGTCTGAGGGCCACATGCCCCAAGCCAGCACCCAGCATCCCCTGAGCTAAACCAAAGAGGCTCCGCATCCCGTCACTCTTTCCTTGATGCCAGGGTCCCTGGAGGAGGGCCGTGGCCTGGGCACACCTCCCTGTTTGGTTGGGCTGCCCGGCATGTGTCTGCAGCTATACCTGCAGGCTGCAGGAATCTGATCAACTCAGGCTGTCCCAGACATCCCACCACACCCAGGGTCCAGCCACGGCCCGTTACTCACCTGCTCCGTCACCCTCCTCTCACTGCCCATGAACAGGGCCCTTCTCCACCTGGTGAGCATGAAGAAAGGCAGCAAACTGGGACGCCATCTGTCTCTTTGATGCTTGGGGGCTTCTTAAGCCTACACACCCATGGAAGTCTAAGACTCCTTCCCAGAGCCTCTGCTTTTCAAATCTTTACAAGCTCAGCAGGGTGAAGCCCTGAGCCTCATGGTGGGAGACTGAACTGCCACGAGGGAGGACTCTGCTGTTGGACACCCCTGAGGATTTCAGAAAGGGGCTCTGGGTTCGAATCCTGACTCTTCCACTTACTAGCTGTGTGCTCTTGGGGAAATCATATCTCTGTGAGCTTCAGTCTCTAACTTGTAAGATGTCACTAGTGTATCATTCCCACGTATGCTCAGTAACTAGGCCAGGGAACATGCTGGGCACAGATGATGCAGTTCTTCTCTTTAAAAGTCAGAATATGGGCCGGCCCGTGGCTCACTCGGGAGAGTGTGGTGCTGATAACACCAAGGCCACAGGTTTGGATCCCATATAGGGATGGCCGGTTAGCTCACTGGGTGAGCGTGATGCTCACAACACCAAGTCAAGGGTTAAGATCCCCTTACCAGTCATCTTTTTAAAATAAATAAATAAATAAAAGTCAAAAAATGGGAGGGTAGCATAGCAACCCAGCACTTCAGAACTTACCCGTCTGGGTTAATCCAAGAAGTGCCTCCGACGGCATCTTGGTGAGGCGCTCATTAACCTGGGAGGCGTCAAACTCTGCTTTCAGAGGAAAGGCAACCTCATGTCCATTTACTTCAAGGAAGGGTCTAAACTACTGAGGCTCACATAAGCTCAGAGCCATGCAGCTCCCCTTGAAAATGAAGTGGTGACACGATAGGGGTGCTTTCTTTCAGAACCACTGCGTGACTGGGGCCACACAGTGACTGTGCAGCTGCGTTCTCCTCCTCCCCTGGGGAAGGCTAACAGAAGACGACGGGCTTCTTGCCTAGGCTGCGGAGGGCACATCCCTGTAACAGTCACCAGGCTGGAGTGACTCAGGAAGGGCCTCCCAGGGCCCACCTCCCTTTAACTTCAAGTCAGGGCAGAAGCTGAGCTGCTGCTCTCAGGGAAGAACCTGTTTTATTTAGTGCGGCATCCCAAAACAGACATTTTAAACAGAAATGAAAACATAATTGCTGGCAAGGTTGGGAGCAGAGAAGGGATGAGAACAAGTGTCTAAGAAAGACAGGCACGGCACCCAGCTTTAGTTCTTGACTTTAATGCCATCCGAGGGACCGAGGCTCCACACACCACAGTGCTCACAGACAGGTGTGTGAACGAACACAGGAGCTGTCACACTTGTACATGAGCCCCACACTGTACAGAGAACAACAGACCCAGGTGACCTCCTGTACTCCAGAGGCACCGACCTGCTCCTACTCTCTACTTTAGTTCCCACCTCCCTCAACCCCCTACCAACCCACCCTTCCCCACTTAATATATATGTACATATATGTTTCTTTCAGAATTCCAAAATGTGCCTCTCCCATCGCAGCTCCCAACACTCCAGCTTCAGATGAGGAAAGCCCCTCTCTTTTAAGGACCATGAGACAGGTACCACCTTCATGCAAGAGCCCCAGCAAAACAGTACCCAAGAAAGCGTAGTCACTTACATTAGAATCAAATATGGATGTAGGTACACAGAAGGACAGTATTTGGAATTTTTAATGGATCACAATGCTCAGTGTGAGTAATTTTTGTTTTGTTTTTGCTATTCATCTTAATCTCTTCAGGACCCAGCTTAGGTCAAGATCACACACTGATGCTCACCCCACTCCATGACCTGCAAATGTCTGTTTCCTAGTCCTCCAGCAAGCAATCCAGAACAGGAAAATCATATCGGCCTGAGGCACATGGCTCAGGCTGCTCCCAGAATGTCCTAAGCCCCAGGAGAAAAGAACAGAAACTTCCAGAGCACGTCTAACTGCTTTCTGCATGGTAAGCCCTGGGCAGCCTGGCGAGCTAGGCAGAGATAGGAGGGGGGACAGTGATGACTCCTTTCTCGTATGCAGAGCATTACCACAAGAATTCCTCCCACTGGGATGGGATGTGTTTCAGTGTGGGCTTGTTTCAGACTTTTTTTGTTGCTATTAGATTTTTCATATTTAATGAATTTTGTTGTGGCTAGCATCGCACCACATGGTCCTATCTCCTAAACCTTTCACCTTTCCAACCAGCAAGTATGGCACCCAGGAGAAAAGGCACCCACAGTCAAACAAAAGGGAAGCCCCAAAGGCAGACACTCTGGTCTGACTCATCAGTAACTACTGGCCTGCCTCAAGGCCAGATGAATCTAGTCCCTTGTCTAGGTGGGAGGCATTTATTGACATGCACAAGAATTCTATGAAAACATACTTCTTTTTGATCAGGGAGAAGCTTTCATCCTTTGGAGCTCTCCTTCCACAACCAACCCTTCTCATGCTCTGTACCTGGCCATTCAGAGGTGCAAAGGGATCAGTCTGGGAGAAGTCACTTCCATAGAGATGACCCCAATCATGGAGGCTATTATCATAAATCACCACATCTAACAGCAATTTTCAACCTGGCTTTGGCCTCTTGTCAGAGAATGGCCACACTAGGCCACTGAGTTCTTTTCCTTTGTTTAGAAAGAGCTCTACACTGGTCCAGCATCCCTTCTCTGCCTGCTCTCCTGGCCCAGAGCACAAAGGCACAGGACATACCACTGTGAGGACAACTTGGGGGACACAGAAACAGGGGCATCTCCAGCAAAAGACACAAGAGCAGTGTCCTTTGGCATCCCTGCAATCCCAAGCAAGGCTTCAGGGCCTGTTTTTGAACAAACCAGTTTCTTCCTGTCTTGCAGGGATGGATTTTAAATAACCAAGCATTGTGATGCTTTGGGGCAGGGGTGGCAGGAGAAGGGGACAAAGCTGGATTACTGGAAGCTCTGGGCTTAATGATCTGCTCTCTACTCATAGGGACTTCCTCCTGCATTGCGTGCCTCACTCCTTGTCAAAAACCAAACAGGTCCTAGGTCGTAGGTACCACCAATCAGAGCAGTTTAAATGAAGGACTTTCCTGTTAGAACTAGGCAAGAGCACACTGTTGGGTGCAGCTCCAAGCAGGGATGTCGGCTCCAGAAGGGAGGCCATCTGCGTGTGTAGGACAGCAGGAGGGACAGCACGTGTCTCAGAACATGAATTGACTGTCTTTTCCTCTTCAATCAGTCCCACCTCTGTTCTACCCACAAGTGCGATAGGGGCGCAACATGGCCCTGAAATCTCTTTCCACACACGAAGGAATTTGGCCAAGGTCCCAAGGCTGGCCTTCCCTTCCCCAGGAGGACAGACGTCTTCAGCTCCCTTTGCCCCACCTCACCTGTCTGGTCCTGTAAGACTGAGACCAATGCTGTTGTGCTCTCCAATTCTTTACATAGACAAAACCTCCCTCCAAGAACACGATCCTGAGTACAGAGAGAAGCCCTTGGCGCAGAAGTGCTGCACTTGGGTGGGCACTGCGGCAGGCTCTTCCCTAGGAGATGTGCGTCCACACCCGACTCGTGCCCAGGCTGCAGGCAGAGCAGGAAGGCACGCTGTGCTAACAGCGCCTGCACATCTTGCTCCTCCTGTTTTGGGAAGCAAAACATGGCGGGGGCTGCTGCTGTCTTCCTGTAGCTCCTAGGGTAGCTGTGCCTGTCACTCAGCCCTTCTGTACTTCTCCAGAGCAGACATTGTCCTGGGAGAACATTAGCAGGATAAAGCAACGCGGCTTAAAGAGAGGATTCCCTTCCAAAGAAGTCCACCACAAATTGGATCCTAACACAAAACAGTACCCAAAGAGGTGTTCCAGCCTCTACAAAGGATGTTACGTTTCATAGATAAAGGAAGACCTAGGCATCTTGCCTGCATGACTTAGAGAATCTTCAAAAGGAGCCTTTGAACTCTGCATTCCAGCCCTGTGAGAAGATAATCCTGCAAGCAAGGAAAGTTGGTAGAAGGTAGGAGCAGCCAAGGCCCTAAGACAGGGCTGTAAACATTGTGGTTTTCTAAGGCCAACCTGGTACGTGGCTTTGGCAACTATGGTTAAATCTCCAAAAGGTGGTGAAGAACATGTTTCAGAAGGAAAAGAGGAGTCTCTCCACATCCTAACACAAGGTGAGGGGTTACTCTTGGGGATGGGGGAGGGGTGCACCGGGAGAGAAGACGTTCCTTCTTCTTCAGCCAGGGGCTGCTGGGTGGCTATGCGGGTTAATTCCCATCATCCTCCATGTTCATACTGACACACTGGGGCACAAACAAGGATGCCTGAGCAGGACTGGCGAAGTGACTGTGCCTACATCAGCTGGGTAACGTGGCTCTAAAATGGACAGAAACCCTCCTGCAAGGTCAGGGAGGTGACATACCTCTCTAGACTTCTTGGTCAGGCCCTAGCTAGCTTCCATCAGCCTCACGTAAAGACTGCCATGCCCCGAGAAAAGGCCAGGGGAGTGCAGGTTCAAGTCCCCATGGGCCAGAAGCCCTGAGCCTGAACCTGAGGTGCAGCGGGAGACTGGAGCTCAGGACTCGTCCTCACCTTGGCAGGTTCTGGGGCAGCTGGCAGCCCCTCCAGGGATCTTACTCCCAGAGCCACCAAGGGGGACAGATGCCCTCCCTGATGGGACTCTGCTGACCAGGTTACTCACCACCATGTGATCTTGAACTCGTAGATGGGGCGCTTGCAGTAGTAGTGGTTGACAAGGTGCTTGTCGCACACCCCAATGCACTGGTGGTCTACGGCAAGGCCCTGGGCCGACAGGTCTGTGACCAGGCAGTGCAGCAGGTCATATACATCAGCCACGGCCTCCCAGGGCCCGAAGGACACATCCACCTCGCAGTGGTGCTCAAAGAGCTGCCCGTCACTCTCGCTCCGCTCAAAGCGCAAGGAGTTAAGTAGCGGGCACTCATAGGGGGTGATGGGCATCTCCTCCTTGAAGACACAGACCTTGAGCTTGGCAAAGCGGGCCTTCCGTTGTACTGCACGCAGCCGGGCAATCTCCACAATCCGCTCCAAATGGTCTGTGGGGGTGAACACAGCATGCATCACTGGAGCGGAGGGTGGGACGGGGGTGGGAGGGTGCACAGGGTCCTAGTGATGGCAGGACATGGGAAGGAAGAGACATGTGTCCTGAGGAGGGATTCAGTGGGCCTGCGAAGGGCACAAACTTAAACAAGGGTGACAGTTCTCCACAGCACAAAGACACCAACGGGATGAGGACTGTCCTGAAACACGATCTGCTGCCTGCTTGCTACAGCAAGGTGGGCCCACCTTAACCTGAATCTTACTGGTGTGACTGGGAGGCAGTACATCTTGAGTACCTGGATGTACCTTGGACCCACCTGTTCTAGTGCAGACCAAGGCCCTGGCAGGGGCCTTGCAACCTCCCCCCCACACCTGGCTGTCCTGGCAGCGACCCTCACCTTTGTAGTAGGGCATGAGGCCCAGGAATGCCTGGCGCACCTTCTCGCCCTTCAGTGGCTGCATGTCCTCCAGCTGCTCCAGGAGGGGCCCAATGGCATAGTACTGGGCCTCCTTGTACACGGCCCGCACACGCTCCCGGGGCGGCAGGTCCCCCGAGCGCAGGAAATTCAGCACGTCTCTGAGCAGGAAGGAAAGAGGGCATGGTTAGAGCACAGGATCTGGAACCAGACTGCCAGCTGAGTAGCCCTGGGTAAGTGAATCTCACCTCTCTGTGCCTGAGTTTCCTCATCTACAACATGGGAAAAAATAATAAAACTACCACAAAATGTTATTACGGAATTAAATGAGTTAATATACGAAAAGTGCTTAGAAAATTTCTGGCATGGAGTAAGTCCTCAGTATGTGTTACTAGTTGCTATTATCAACATCATTATTATTATTATTACTATTACAATTACTGTACTGTTATTAGGTATATATTGGTATAATGCAAAGATATAACACTTAGCCCATACATATACGGTTTTTACACTGAGATATAATTAATTTTCGATGTATAAATCTTAATTATACAGCTCAATTATTTTCTAAGTATGAATAATACCCACACAACCACCACCTAAGTTCAAGACAGAGAACATTTCCATCTCCTTGAGGTTCCTTGTGCACCTTCCCAGATAATCCCTACAGAGGTAATTACTTGGCCTTCTTCTATCAACAAGGATTAGTTTTGCCTTTTCTTAAAATTCATATATGGTTAGAGCATGGTGTTGTAATGCCAAGGTCAAGGGTTTGGATCCCCGTACCAGCCAGCTACCAAAAAAACAAAATCAACAACAAAATTCATACACATAGAATCACACAGTACTGTATTTTCTCTTTTGTACCTGGCTTCTTTCCCTCAACATGTTTTTGAGATTTATCCACCATGTTGTGGACACATATAACAGTAGTTTGTTTCTTTTTATCATGTTTCTTTTTATTATAAGTATACAAAACATACTTATATATTATTATCACTTATTGCTACCACCGTATAAATAGACTATCGTATATTACCCCTTCTCCTACTGATGAATACTTGGGCTGTCTCTAGTTTTCTGCTATTATGAGTAAAGCTGCAATGAACATGTCTACCTGAGGCCTTTTCTGGACATAAACATCAACTTCTCTTGGGTAAATATAAGAATTGTTCAGTCACAGGGTCAGCGCACCCCCTCCCCACAGAGTCCTCTAGGACCTTCAGCAAACCTTGGTGAGCTCTGAAAAACAAAATGCTGGGGTAAGACCCAGCTAAGAGTGCTGTGGGAGCTGCCAGCTGGGGCCAGCACTTTCTGCCCCCAAACAGCTTGCAAACAAAAATCTTTTTATAGTTCTGCACAGCAGTTTGACACTTTGTTGTCTCAGCACTGGAGGCAGCTAACAGCCCACTGGAAAAACCCAGATGCTTCAGTGCAAATTATTTTACCAGTGACTCCATTCAGAGGATAAAAGTGATCCTTCCCCCAGTGTGGACAATCCTACTTGGAGGCCAGCATAGAGATGTGGTTGGAGAGTTTCTGCCTCCCTAGTCATTTGGCTCAAGGTCAAGGACCATGTCAGCTCTCTAGTCACCTCCAAAGTTAGACTGAAGGAGCAAAGAGCTCCAGCCACACACTCTAAAAAGGACCTGACCAGGGGTCACACCAAGGCTCTTTATTTAATCCTCATTGACAGGCCAGCAAGGAAGCTATCATCATTTTTCACTTCACAAATAAGAAAACTGAGACATAAAGTCTTTAAATCATTTATGTGTTAAGTTGTCTTTTCTTGGTAAGGACTATCTTTTTTTTTTCCCCTTGAGATTTTGTTTTTACATGTTTTTAAATGACAGTAACAACAGAAGGTTTTTTTTTTTTTAAAGACTTTTCTTGGTAAAATAAAGGATGGTAACACTACGTCCACCGTTCTCTCACCTTTTTCGTTTGTTTTAAACACACCCAGCCAGCGTGTGTTACTTGGAATTTCTCTAGCTGTCCTCTTCTCTTTTGGAAAAGAAACTAAGAATTTTGATCCAATTCAATAGGCACATTTATTGAATTCCATCAACGTGTTATCTCTTCTTCTAGGTACTACAGAAGATGCCAAAGCCCAACATCCTAGCCCAGGCTACTCACTTGCTAGGACTACCAAGCTGATTGTAGAGGAAGAGACATACCCAAAGTGTGTGCCGTCTCGGTCAATGAAGTACCGGCCCTCAGCGTCCGTGGGGATGCAGTGCCGCCCGCTGAACATGGCTGCCAGCATGGTGTCTTCGTAGCGCCGCAGGGTGGACAGGCGCGTGGTGAAGTGAGCCCCTCCGATGTTAAGGGGGACAACCTCGGGAAACTGGAAAGGAACCCCGAGGTCTCAGGCAGGCAGGGGAACAAGAGCAGGGGCTATTTAGTGACACACCACTCGGTCACTCAGGCCCAGGGGTCCCTCTGAACACTTTCTTCTCTCTCCTCCCTCTTGCCCACACTCATCAATTGCCAAGTCCGTTCCACCCAAGAGCTCTTAAATCAGGTCTCTCCACCCCAATCCCACCATCTGTCAGCCAGCTGCCCCCCAAAAAAATCCTCCAATCCAATCTCACCATCTCTGCTCAAGAGTTCAGCCCTTCACTGTCCTCCTTCCACTTCCTGAATTCATCGTCTTGTATCCTTGCTCATGCTGTCTTCTCTGCCCAGAGCACTTACCATGCCCCTCTCCCTCTGTACCGCTAGCAAATGAAATCACCCCATAAGATGGTGTAGGTTGTCCACTGCATACGGGCACCCGGATGAGAATGGTCTGCTAATCCAGCGGTGTGCCCTTCTTCCAATTCACACCAAAGCACCATAGAGGCTAGTAGCATCCACACATCCTAAAAGCGTCCAGTCAAGTCCCCTCCTCTGTGGGCATTTCTGCTCAACTGTTGTCCCTCACCTGCCCCCAAGACAGAGTTAAGCACACACTCCTCCACTGTGCCTTCACTGTTGGTCACACTCCCCTCTGTTACAGCACCTAGCACAACAGATCAGCAATTATTTTCTTCTGCCAACCCGTTCTTGTAGATCCCAAGCTTCCTGAGGGCAGGGAAGCACCTTGTTTGCCCCACGGGGCTGCCCGGGCAGAGCTCAAAAGATGTTTGCTGCCTGCTTCCAGGAACCCCCCTAAGCCCCCAAACTGCAGTGTGAGAAGACTAGCCCCAGTCCAGTTCAGGTTCTGCAGGCAAGGGCTGGGTGAGGAACAGGAAAATAATACGGATTTGCCCTGGGAAGCTCCAAGTTCCTCCTAAAATGCTCAGGGTGTTTGTTTTTTTTTGGATGTCTTTCGCTGCTTGTGGTTTCCACCAAACTGCATCTGGAAAAAAAGGCCAGTTCTCTCTCATTTTCCCACAAACTTCCTCCAAACCAACTAAAATCTTATCCTAGTGCATGCTTTTCAATATTACATCTCTCTGGCTCCAGTGAAAGTCTATGTGTATTTATCTAGACGGTCCCTTCCCCCAGCTTTCAAATCCTTTGTGAAATAAAGCAGGATCTGAACACATTAAATAAAACTCACCCAGGGTCTGTGCAGCAAGTGCCTAGCTCACTGTAAAGACCCAAAACTCACTGAATGAATGAATGAATGAATGAATGAAATAGCAGTGTGCAGTTCTGCGCAGGTGGCACGGCCCTCTCCTGCACTCAGAGGGCAGGGAAGCGCTCCTGCTTACTCTATAGGTCCTCTAAAACTACTGTGTGCATATCGAGGACTCTAATATTGTTTTGTGATAATAATTTCCGGAACTCTTTAAACCTTTTCCCAGGATATTTCACACCAGTCCAAGTGTGTGCTCCATACTGGAGATGAGGACACTGAAGCAGACAAGACAGCGGTAACGCAGAACCCAGGGCTCCGGCGCCCACCGGGGCACGCTGGGGCCCTTTCCCCGAAACCACGCTGTTTCCCCAATGACATGGACGGAAAATGGCACCACTGTGTCTCTAACGGCTCTCTTCCCCTCATCGCAGGGAGTACTCGTAGTATTTCGCTCATTTCCACAAGCTTCCCACGAGAGGTACGGGCACTATTCGCCGCCTGGTGGCCTCACCAGCCACCCCGCTGGGCCGCGTCCCCCTCGGGGACTCCGCACCTCCGGCTCCCGGATCGGGCACTGCCCTCGTCCCACCTCCAAATCCCCCTCCTCAGGGCGGCAACGCCCGCTTCCCCTCCTGCCCCCTGGGAGGGTCCTCTGGAGCGCTGACACGACAGTGTCACACGCCTTCGGAGAGCCAAGGAGCACGGCGCCCTAATCCGCAGCCGCACGGCAGGCGCGGGCAGCGCCGAGGCCTCCGGGGACCCTCGGGAGACAATCCCGGCCACCTCCCTCCTCCAGGGGGCAAAGGCGGACGCAGGGACGGGGCCGTCCCCTC